ACCTCTTTTTGGAACATTTTTAGTCATCATGTCTGAGGGGCTAGAACATGGTGAGCCTACTGCATATATATCCATATTTTTTATTGTCTGTCTTACTACACTAAAATATAAGCTCTGTAACAACAGAAATTGATTTATTTTTGTTTACTGTTATAATCTCAGAACTTGAAATAGTTCCCAGCTCATGATAGGCATCTATTACACATGAAAGGACTTTTCTTTGGTGGTACTGGAATTTGAACTCAGGACAAAGTTTCCAAGGCAGGTGCTTTCCTGCTTGAGCCATATCTCCATCCCTTAGTTTTGAGAGAAGGTCTTGCTTTTTGCCCAGGCCAGCCCTGGATCACAGTCTTCCTATTTTATACTTTCCACTGCAACTGGGATATAGGTATGCACTATCAGGCCCAGCTTTTTTCCATCAAGTTGTGGTCTCATGAACTTTTTCTTTTTTTTTTTTTGGTCTGGGCTGGCCTGGAAATGTGATTCTCCTGATCTCAGCTTTAAACCAGAATTTTTTTTTTTTTTTTTGTGGCGCCAGGATTTGAGCTCAGGGCCTCATGCTTGCTAGGCAAGCACTCTACCACTTGAGCCACTCCACTAGTCCTCTGATCTCAGCTTCCTGCATTGCTTGTAATAGATACCCACACCCTATTTGTTAACACGGGGTCTTGTGAACTTTTTGCCTAGGCTGGCCTCCCAACCATGATCCTCCAGATCTCAGCTTCCCAAGTAGCTAGGATTTATAGGCATGAGCCACCAGTGCCTGGCTGAAAGGACTTCTTACATTGCTGATATTTTGAACCCTAGTTTTTTCTGTCTTCTCACTTAAAAAAGTGAATGACTCACATCTCAGAAACCGAAAGGCTCACATCTTGTATCCATGACTGCAGGCATCCATTTTTGCTTACCATGTCATAAGTACTGTGTTAGATGTTGGGTATGTACAGCATATATGTAAATAACACAGTTCCTTGCTCTATATGGAGTTTATAGTATAGATGATAGAGGCAGACATTATACATGCTTACAAAGTAATAAATTATTATAAATATTACAAGACTTTTCTGTCTATGAGATAGAATAATAGGAATGACCTAACTTGAGTTAGGAAGTCAGGAAAGGCCTTTTTAGAGAAGTGAAGATTAAAACTAAGACTTGAGGAATGAACAGGAGACTTATAGATCATGACTGCCTCAGCTTATATGTTAATGTATATGAAGGCCCAGAGGTATAAAAGAGATGCTTCATTCTTAGAAGTAAAAAGTACATTCTAGAACTGAGAAAATTAAAGGGAGATGGTGAAAAGAAATGAGATTGAAGAGATAGGCAAGGATTAGGTTTTATTAAGGATTTAGATTTTCTTCAAAGAGCAACTGGAAGCCACCTAAGGGTTTAAGATAAGAATGTGACATGATCTGATCTGTATATTGAAAGATGCTTCTGGCATTTTTGTGTAGAGTGGATTATTGTTGGATCAAAGGAGAATCAGTAGTCTAGTTTGAAATAGACAGGTGGGAAGAATGAAGGCCAGTGTGGTAGTCTTGGAGGAGAAGAGCTGCAAATGCATTGGAAATGTAAGGGGTGGGGAAGTAGAGGAATGCTGAGGGAGATAAGATCACTTTCAATATTGGCCTTATTTGAGGAGATGTGTGACCATGCTGCTTTTAAAGATGATGTTTTGTGGCTTTTCTTTGTGCTTGTCTTTCTTTCTGATACACAAACAGAACTGCTGAGCAGGTTAACTATTGTTTTTTGTTTGTTTGAGACAGGGTCTTGCTGTGTAACCTAGGCTGGGTTTGAATTCAGGATCTGCCTGCGTTAGGCTCCCATGTGCAGTGATTAGAGTGCACCACCATACCTGGCTTCTGTTTTTTAATAGAGTCCAGACTATATCTTTCTTTACCAGTAGATTTTAATTTAGTTTATTTAGAAGTGAAAATAAATTTTTTTATTGGGCTTGGAATTTGAACTCTGTCCACGTGGATAGAGAGGAATGGGAGAGATTAAATGAAGAACTGTTTGACAAGTAGAGAGGGAAACAGATACTCAGTTTTTGAATATGTTAATTTTGAGATACTTACAGGGAGATGTCAAGTAGGTAGTTTTGGAGGGGCCTGATAATCTGGACTGACCTTTAATATCCATAATCTTATCCATAATTCTGAGTCCCCAAAGCTCTGAAAATCCAATTTTTCTTTCTTTCCTGTAACTCATTTGGCACTAAAATTGGCCCGAATGTATGTGAGGTTGTTTATCATCTTTATGTTAGACTGAATATACATATATTTTCTTTAGAAATACTATTGTATTTGATAAACATGCTATTGCAGATTCTGCTGGTAGTATTAGAAAGTATGTGGTTTTTAAACACTGCCAGGCATCTTTATTTTAAAAATCCAAAAAATTTGAATTCTGAAATATACTTGGTTCCAAAGATTTTGAGTAAATTATTATAAACCTATATAAAATAATGTTGTCAGTACACAAAGTTGTGATAACTTTGCCTCTGATCAGCATCTGGAGAAGAAAGGGCCTTAAGGCCAAACTTGGAGAGACTCATTGAGAGTTTGGTAGAGGAAGGGAAGCTGAAACCCAAGTTGGAGAAGCCAAAGAAGGAAGAAAACTGGAGTGTCAAGTCATAGCAACTAGGAAAAGAGAATGCTTCAAGAAGAAGGAATTGGGACTAGGGGTAACTCAAGTGGTAGAGCCCTAGCCTAACAAGCGTGAGGTCCTGAGTTCAAATTCCACCACCACCCCAACCCCCAAAAAAGAAGAGTTTAATTGTGTTAAATAAGGTTCCAAATCTAGTGAAATAAAAAGCTTAAATTCCTGTAGCAAATGAGATAATTGCAGATTTCAGAAAGTGCTATTTTGTCTTTTAAATCACTAAGCATTTCTCCCCATGAAAATGTTTGCCTTTCAATTGTTTAGGTTAGAAAGTAGCAGGAATTAGAATTTGCTGGTCAGGGTTTTTTGTTTTTGTTGTTACTTTTTAAAAAGTAATTTTCCTTATCTTTTTCTGCTTCCTTGTTGCATTTTCTTTAGAGTGGCATATTAATTATTTATCTTGCTATTTGCAATATGAGGATATTAATCAAGGCCTGGTGCTTGCTAGGCAGGTATTCTGTCACTTGAGTCACACCCCCAACCCCTTTTGCTTTAGGTATTTTTTTGAATGAGGTCTTGTATTTATGTTGGGCTGGCCTTGACCGAACTCCTTCTATTTATGCTTCTTGCGTAGCTGGGATGACAGGTGTGCACCACCTGGTTGAGATGGGGGTCTCACAAATGTTTAGATTGGGGTTAGCCTCTGTTGCTGCCTCCTGAGTAGCTAGGATTACAGGTGTGAACCTCCTTACCCAGCAAAAGAATCCTTAACTTCTCTGCTTTCCTTTTGTTTTGGGCCAGTCACATTGACTTAGTCACAGTGGGAAAGAACCTGTCAGTATAGTGAGAATCAAATTTGGCCAGCAGGACCTATGTTTACTAGTGGGAATAGAAATTAAGTCCCTGGGACAAGAATGGTTAGAATTTACTTAGAATATGTATGTGTGAGCATGGTAGAGTTTTTCATTTGGGTTGAGAATAAGAGTGATAATTGCATTTTTCTTTATACTTGTGGTTTTTATCACTTTTAGTTAATGGAATACTTTAAAAAATTTGAAATAGTATGCAGAAATTTTGTTTAATTTCATGCAGTGAGGTAGCTCCTTTGTGGAAATTGAGATTTCTAAACAACATTCTCAGGATTAGAGTAGCCTTGTATAGCTTTAGCAGCAGACATGATTGTGCTTTTTAAATTAATGTAACAGTATATCTGTGAACACAATGAGTTTAAAATTGCAAGGGGAAAAATGTTTTCTCATTTGTTCAAAAAAGTTCATTTATTTATTTTTAAACACTTGAAACTATACTCATTAGCCAGTGTTGAACTGCTGAGTTTAGTAGCCACTAATTTTGGTAGCAGTATCTCCTGCTTCCCCCCAAAATGAAAAACAACACAATTTCAAAATTGTATGTGAAGTGCATTTTTAGTTCTATATGGATTTATGCTTCAAGATATTTCTAAATAAGAATTTGTCTTCTTTGGTGTAGTTGTTTTAAATGGGAATGAATACACAGTTTTCTTGGAGTTAGAGGTCCATATGATCTTAATAGCAGGTTGGCACAGCTTTACTGTAGTTAGTTCTGTCTCTGAGAAAATACCATATTCTTTAAGTTGCTAAAATTTAGGCTGAGGATCATTTTTTGTAATATGAACCTAGACGAATCATCCTCCTACTGAATTCTTGAGGATAATTTGGGATCTTGACATACTGATATTTTCATTGGCTTGGTCAAAATTATTCTGGTACAGTGCTTTATTGTATTCCTCATGAATAAAATTTATGTTAGTTTTTCTATTTTTACATTTTCAGCAAAACATAATTTTGTCATTATTGATTTTTTTAAAGACGTTTATACCATTTACACAAATGATATCATTTGGCTTAGCGATTCCAGATTTTATAACTCAGTGCTAAATAAATTTGGACATTAAATATAATGGGAGAGAATTTAATTTGATAAACTTAACACAGAAAAATAGTAGGCATTTAGGCCCATTACTTAAGAACTGATTTAATTTGGCAATAAAAGTAATTATGTTTGTGCAGCAGAAATGACAAATTATTTTGTTTGAAAATAGAGAGCTCAGCATTTCCCATACTCTGTTTTGAGGAACATTATTGTTCTGTGACATATTAATGTTTAGGGAAGAAGAAAAACAAAAAAGGTTGTGAGGTCAAAGAAATTTAGAAAATGCTGGGTTAAGCATAGTGAAGCAAGTATCATTTTAGTATTTCTCAGGATTTTTAATGTTCATTGTGAAGCCAAGCTAGCAGTACTTTTCTCTCTGAGGAATAAATTTTAGAGTAAGTTGGAATTTTTTTCCACTCAACATTCCCACCTGTTCCACCCTGTTCCTCAGGTGGGACTGGTGGATTGGTATATTTTGTGGTTGGAAAACATTCCCTAGGTGATCTGATGCATCCCTGCCTTTGGTTGAGAAGTGCTGAGACAGAGTACACAGGCTTTCCCAAATTTCTTTGGTCGAAGACAGCCTAGTTTGGAGATTATGCTCATGTTTCAAGGATTAGAAAGGCATTTTGAGTGTCTTTGGATAGATTATGAAGACTTCAGAAGTAGACTAGTTTTTGCTCTACCAGCATAGTTTTCCGGTTTTGGAAACTATTTATCAGTTGGCTTTCGTAAATTCTCTTCTGGATCATCTTCAAGTTTTTGTTACCAAGATAATAGAGTTTAATTTGTAAGTGTCTTCAAACTCTGGAAAAGTTGACATTTGCTTAAAAAATGCTGGAACTAAAAGTTAACCTTTCTCAATGCTATTGTTCAATACATACACTAGACCCATATGTCTAGAGACGTTGTTAAGTAATAATGGAAACTTACTTAATTTAGTTACCTGTATTGACACGATTTCTAAAACCTCTTGATTCCAGAATATATTATTTACATGTATCTATACATTTTTATATGTAACTTTTTATATTTACTATCTAGAAATTTCAAGACATTGAAGAAACTCATCTCATTCACATAAAAGAAATTATAGGATCTTTATTAAATGCTATCAAGGAAATTCATTTGCAGATAGGCCAGGTAAGTAAGTTTTTTTTTGCTTTTTTGTTGAACTGATTTATGAAAATTTCACGCTTATTTAGGGCTCTTTATAAATCTTTTATCACTTTGTCTAAAACTCATAGGTATAATATTAAATTATTTCAAATAAAGAATATGTACTTGTATGCTTAAAAAAATTTTTGGTCACCAAGCATGATTATTCAAATTTTTAAATATAGCTAATTGAATGTTACAGTATTTAGTTGCTATATATATAACTAACTTTGCAGTTAGTATGTAGTAAATAGCTATAGTTTTAATAACTATATAATTTAAAAAGATTATACACAGTCTTTGCATTAAAATTCAGAAGTTACCAATTTTTCAATAGTTCTTATAAGTTTTACTATTTTTAAAGTTAGAGCAACAACTTTATTAAGTTAGAAAGACTTGAACTTAGAAATGTTTCAAAAATATAAAAGCAGTTTAATGATGATTTGAAGTATATTTGAACTACATATGGTACAGAAAGATGAAGTCTTTTTCTTTACTATTAAGATCTAAAGCTGTTATTGTCTTCATAAGTTTTTGTCTTTGTAAGAATTTTGTCACTAAAACAATCTAAAGATGAGACTAGGAAACTGCCTTGATTTCTAAGGCTGTTAGGCCATATCTTAAGAGGTGAAGGTAAGCAATCTGTTAACACTGTGAGTTAGGTAACAGCATATTAGGTAAATGAAAGTTTTCAAACTCTGCTGGATGATACATTTATGTATATATATATATATATATATATACACATATATATATATGTATATATATATATATATTCTGCTTGCTTATAGAAACTTTATGTAATGTATTGTAAGAATTTTAGGGTAAAAAGAAAAAATTATCCTTATTCTGTTTTCATAGGTTCATGAAGAATTTATAAACAACATGGCTAATACTACAGTTGAAAGTTTGATACAAAAATTTGCTGAATCAAAAGGCACGGGGAAAGAAAGACCTGGTAAAATGATAGACAACAAAGGAAACATTTTCAAACTTCTTATCTACTAATAGATATTTTCATGTGCGTGTGCGCACGTGTGTGTGTGTGTGTGTGTTAGGGTCTCACTGTGTAGCCTGGACTGGTCTTGAACTTAATCATCCTCCTGCCTTAGCCTCCCAGCTGTTAGGATTATAGTTGTGTGCCACCACACCTGACTAATAATTTGTCTTTAAATTCATCTTGTGCAAGGGTAATTTTAACTTTATATCACATATTTGAGCTGACTAACATTTTCAAACTGTAAAATGGAGCCAAATTAAAAAATGGGCATACCTAAAAATCTGAATAGAATCACAGCTATTAATTTTGTTAGATTGAGATTCTTGGAACATTTAGTGGTATCACTTAAAATGTTTATTATAACCTTTACTATATTAATCTATTTAGTTTGTTTAGATTTTTGAAAAGAGGTTAGCTACAGAAAGCCATTTTAATAAAAGAAACATTGGGAGAGCATATTGAACCCTCAGAATATGGATACCAACATAGAACACTTTTTAAAATTTAGCTGGGCACTAGTGGCTCACCCCTGTAAGCCTAGCTACCCAGGAGACAGAGATCAGGAAGATTGTGGTTTGAAGCCAGCCCAGGCAAATAGTTTGAGAGATCCTGTTTCAACAAAACCCATTACAAAAAGGGGGTGGTGGAGTAGCTCAGGGTGTAGGCCTTGAGTTCAAACCCCTGCACTCCAAAAAAAAAAAAAAAAAGATTAAATATGTAGTATGGAATTCAGGAAAATAGATATATGATTTTTGGAAAAGTCTGGGAGCCATTTTTCTTTAGTACAGTTCACGGAACTGATGCTTAAAACCTGGATCATCTACACTTTCTTCTTCCCAAATTTTATTAATTTTTAAATTGTACCAATAGAATTGAGTTAGTATTTCTCCCTCAGACTTTCTTTCTATGTTTTCTTATGATTAATTTGCATGGGCCTCATACTGGCACAGTAGAGATTTCTCCCTCAGTCCCCTATAGCCACATTCATCGTTTAACCATGAATTTACAATTGCACTACTCATAAATCTTTGAATTTTCATTATAGATAGAATGAATGTTAGACTGGTCTTGGATTCAAAGCCTTGAAGGATCTGGGGCTGGCCAGTCTTTTCTTTTCCATCATTCCTTTAAGTTGCCAACCTGAACTGTGGTATTTTCTTTTCTTTCTTTCTTTCTTTTTTTTTTTTGGTGGGACTGGGGTTTGAACTCAGGTGTTCATATTTTGCAAAACAGGCAGGCAGTCTATCACTTGAGACACACCTCCAGTCCCTGAACTGTGCTATTTTCTATACGTGACCCATTTTTTTGGTTTTTTCTTGTTTTTTCCCTTGTACTGGGGCTTGAAATTGGCCTTCACCTTGAGCCATTCCGCCAGCCCTTTTGTGATGGGTATTTTTGAGATAGAGTCTTGCCTGGGCTGGCTTTGAACAGTGATCCTCCTGATTTCTGCCTCCTGAGTAGTTCAGATTATAGGCATGAGCCACCTGTGTTCAGCACATGCCCCATTTTTTTTTTTTTTGCATTAGTACATTAGTTGTCTTTATGTCCTTTCTCTAGAAAATACTATGTCCCACTTCTTCCCTACCTCATACCTTCCCATTTATGTGAGAAGTAAATGCACTCTTAAAGAACCAAGTTATATAATACTTCATTCATCAAAAGTGCCTCAGAACTTTATCCTTTTTTCAGCATTGCTGTCTATCTTGAATTTTAATAGTTGTGCACTTGTGAAAAAATGTTCTATGTTTGGTTCATCTGTTTTTTTTCCCTCTGTTTGAATATAGTATGTTTTTGTTGAATGCTGAACAAATGGGCATACAGTATTGAAATTAGAATGTTAAGGATGTTGAAGTTGGATGAGTTTGCTGTTAAATAAGTCTTCATTATGTGAATATTCAATAATTATGGTAAATGTTTAATTAGCACTTAATTCTGTGCCTTATATCGTGCCAGTCACTTTGCAGGCACACTTTGATCTTCAGCAACTCTGAAGCAGGTACTTTTATTCCAGTTTTAACTTCTTTTCTTCTCTTTTCTCCTCTCCTTTCTTTCAGTGGTACTGGGGGTTGAACTCCATGCTTTGTGCTTGGTAGGCAGGTGCTTTATCACTTGATCCACACCCTCAGCCCTGCAGTCTAGTTTTATAGATTAGGGACATATTGAGTAGTTAAATAGTTTGCCTAAGCTAGTATGTAGCTTCAATTTCAGGATTTTTTTATCTCAAGACTAGTGCTTGGAAAAATTAGAATAGAGCTAATTATAGATAGAATGAAAGTGGTGAGGTACCCAAGTACAGAATAGTCTGAAACCCCAAAGCTACTTATAAAAAGATGTTGGTGAAGGCCAGTTAAAAAGGGAAAAAAAACAACTGGGGAACAAATAGAATTTTAATATAGAGTATTTAGGAGTGTTTTGATAGGATGAAAGCAAAGATACATTTGGCAAGTTAAAGATGCTGTAGGTAGAAATAGGAATAAGAGTGGCAGATGACGTCAGTATTCTGGTTGTGGTGACATATTACAGTTTTGTAAAAGGTTATCATTGTGGGAAACTGGGCAAGGTGTACTGGGGATCTCCCTGTATTACTTCAACTATATGTGAATCTGCAATTATCTCAGTGAAAATTTCAGTTAGAAAAATGTCTTGTGCCAAGTGCCGGTGGCTCATGCCTGTAATCCCAGCTATTCAGGAGGCAGAGATCAGGAGGACCGTGGTTTGAAACCAGCCCAGGTTTTATTTCTTAAAAAAAAAAAAAAAAAAAAAAATCACAATAAAGGGCTGGTGGAGTGGCTCAAGGTGTAGACCCTGAGTTCAAACCTCAGTACTACAAAAAAAATTTTAAAAGCCTTAAAACCAGGGGACTTGAGCTGAAATGTGAACCTAAACCAATAAACCATCCTTTTTCTCGCTGAGTCATAAATGATCCAGAGTATATTTAAACAGAAAGACCAAAAAAAAGTGGATCAGTATTCTTCAAGTATTAAATCAAAGAATAATGGGTACATTAAAATTTTAAGCCAATTTTTATTTTGGTTGACTTTTTGTTTTTCTTTTTGAGACAGAGTCTTGCTGTGTAGTGCAGGTTGGCCTGGAGCTCTGAATCCTCCTGCCTCAGCCTCCCAAGTGCTAGGATTACAGGTGTGCACCACCTCACTCAACTTTGATTGGCTTTTTGGTAGCATTTTATCCTTTCACCGATGTAATTTTCACTCTGTTTTGGCTTTCTGGGTTCTTTATTGCTTCTTCGCTCATTTAGCACTGTCATCTCTTAAGATAGTGCTTATCCAAGGGTGAAAAGTATGTGGTATGTGTACAGTCTTAATCATGGCAGATGCTGTCACTAGATCATTGTGTTTTCATCCAGAGGACTTCAGAATCCCTCTCCTCACAGTGCTGCAATATTGGAGATTGGCATTTGTGCTGAAATCTGTCATCTCTGACTTAGTTCAATAGAGACTGTTTGTTTGCAAATGTCAGCACACCATTTTAAACAAGCTTAAGCTAAAATTCCATGCCTTGGCTTTTTTAACCTGGAAGGACAGAAATGAATTCACAGACCAAATGGATGTCATTAGGACATTGTTTTACTCTTTTGTTTTGTTTCTGCTTGTCTCTGCTTGGCTTCACTTTCTTAAGCGCCTATTATAGACTTTAATTGCTGAGAAGGAAGGCATCAGCAGCCCCCCAGCCTATACAAGTTCAGTTGAGCATCCAAGTAGAAAAAATTTTCTTTTTCCTAGTGTTAGCATAGGGAATTTTAGGGAAGGTCCAGCTTTTATCACATGCCTGATTTTGAGTCAATCGCTGTATTTTGGTAGCGGGACATTGTAACTGGTCACAAAGGCCAGGTGCTCAGACCATCGGAAAATGTACAAAAATAACCACTGTTTAGTTCTGCATTCTAGAATCGGTGTATGAAATATAAAAAATATCAAACCTTAAAATACAACCTTTTAAAACTGGGAGAGTTTGTATTTGTGTTTCAGATGTAGGACTTAATCATGTTACTAATATTTAAATAATTAGAACCATCAATTTAAGAGGCAGAGGTTTATAAAACTTAGATAAAATTAGAGGGAAAAAGTTACATAATTTAGTTTGTGTTATAATCATGGAATTTTATTGCTTAACAGGACCTTAAAAACAATTTAGTCCAAAGCCATTCATTTAACGTACAAAAATATGTTGGAACTTATCAAAATATGCCATTAATTTCATTTAATGTAGGCTACAAATGAGTTAAAGTTTTGTTAATTCTCATAAATTTTTTTATCTCAATATATGGGTATTCCTGGACCCTTACCTTATTCACCCTTACCTAATGTCCTACCTGCCTACCTACTGATAAATTTGTCTATGAAAAATTCAACACGTATACAGTTATTTTATAAATTCCCTTCTCTTGGTTAGATCTTTTAAAGCCTATGTTACAAATTGCCTATAAGTTTAGGGAAAGGACTGATAAGTGGCTCAAGTGACAGAGCTCCTGCCTTGTAAGCATGAGACCCTGAGTTCAAACTCCAGTACCTTAAAAAACACTGATTTATAATTTTAGGAAGGTTTTAAAATTAGGCTCACTGACTGGCTTTTCTTTACATTCCAGAGATGTATTTCTTGTCTCTGTTGCAGTTCAGTAGTCTGTGCTCTGCTCTTCACCAGAAATGAGCCCTCACATCTCACATCTCAGGGTGCTTATCTGACAAGTGGGGTAGTAGTAGTGCCTGCCTTGTGTTTGTTGTGAGGTTTACATGGATATGCAGAATTATTAAGCATTTAATAAGTATTACTTTCAAAATACCTAGATTAATAGGTAGCTACTGATACTGTTTCTTTACAATTTTAATTTTACTGGTCTCAGATATACCAAGATATTTTGGAAATACTTGTAACTGAATGGTAGGAGATGAGGTTGACCAATGATAGGAGGTGGGAGGCAGGACAAACTTACAGTTAGGTGA